TATTCCGAAGCGGTGAAATTCCACTCTCGCCAGCCTGAGATATTTTTAGAATGGCGAGTGCCTGCACCGATTCCCAGCTGTGTGTAGTGCTGATGTCACAGGTGAGACGAAAATTAAATAGGTATTTAGTCTACGAAGGCTCCTGGGCACCAGCCTTGAGATGTGCTTCCGTGAGGAAGCCTGCTGGTGCCTGTGGGGAATCTGGCCTTTATGTCATCTGGAAGGAACCTGGCTCGTGAATTATGTTCCTTGGGGGTAACGAGGACGACGGCAAGCCTGCAAGCACCGGTGGATGCTTTCCTGCATCCTGTCTCTGCACGGCCCCCCATGCACTGTGGAGTCTCGACATTCAAGACTGACTGTTTCTGCCCTCTCTAATGGGCCAGTAAGTCAGCAGTCTCACAGAAGCGGGATGCACCTGATGCAGATGGTTTTTCATAATCCAGTAAGAGGATGCCTACACATTGCCTGCCTTAATGCCACATGGGGCAATGCTATTTGGATTTACATATACACAGACAAAACAAATCACTCTATGGAAGAATGAGTTTCAAGCAGTGCTCATTCACCACCCCCACCATTTTACCAGGCTTCTAGGAAGTCCCACTATTTCAAACAGCCAAAGCCGTGTGGAAGCTCTGCCCCTTTTTCGGCTCCGACATGATGGTTCTTGAATCCGGTGAGGAAGTCGTTCCTAGTTCATGAGCACGTTCTCCCATGCCAGGTCAACTCTAGTATTCCCTGCTTTCACCAACCTACCCTGTGTTCTTCAAATCAAAATTGTGCAGACATATTTTCCCTTGGTCATGTGCAATCCCTCAGCAGCTCAGTTTTAGAGGACGACCGTTGATCATGAATCAAAACCAAGAGGTTCCAAAGCTGATTGTCACCCCCAAATGCTCTTCAAAGAGTGCTCCTTCCCAAGCTGTCCCAACACGATCAACAAATTTGATGACAAATTTTATGGGCAACCTGGCCCGGCGTGTTTGGGACTTACAGCCTTTGTTAAGCTGCAGAATTAGCACAAACAGGTTGCCGTGTTGGTGATTCGGTCAGGGGCTCTGGCCCTACTTTCTAGCCTGGCTTGATCCTTAAGTTTTGACCAGGGGAGGTGAGCCACACATTCTTAAATTCCCTTAAATGCAAAAGGACGGGATAATTAGCAAAGAGGAAGCAGGCAGGTTTGAGAAAGGTCTGCCAGAGACATATCTCAGAAGCTGATGCTTGCAGGATCTCAGGAGCCAGCCAATGACGAAGCTGACACCAATTACACACCAAGCAGAGGCCTTTCCAAATCTCCCCCCCTCCCCACCCCAAGGGGAGAATTACTGAAGACTAGACTGCACTGGCCCAGAGCTGTGATCCAACAGTTTATGCTCAGACAACGATGTCACAGGACATATGAAACGGATAGGTTTGTAACCTGCTGTGGAACCAAAGCTGCTTTAGCGCTCTTTGGAGCCCCGGCCATCCAAACACCGAGCCCAATACTTTCATCTCCTTCTGATGACAACGACCCAATTAAAGGAGTGCCGGATGACAGGTTTCGAGCTAAAACGCTGCTTGGTAAAAGCACTCAGGAGCTCACGACTGCCTGCTTTATCCAAACTGTCACTCTTCTCCCCGAGCACCCTCCCTGTCGCCAGGATTGGTAATAAAAGAGAAATTTGATTTGCCTCTAATAGGTGTCAAGATAAAATCAATGGTCTGTCTGAAATATGAGTAATTCCGAGCCTAGCGTTTAAGAAAATACAACCATGAAACCATTTACAGTAGGGGAAGGGAATTAAAACAAATGGAACGGCACAACAATGCCACATTCCGCACATCTGAGAGAAGTAAGGGAAAAGAGGCGACAACGACAACCTGAACGTGGACAAGGTTTGATTTAACGCACGGAAGTGCAGGTTCTCATATGTTGCCTTCAAACAAGACACATCTGCAGCACAGGTGTTCCGGAAAGGAAAAAGAAAGGGACTGCATCCTGGTTTGTCTTTGCAGCAGCCGCGCCCCCCCCCCCCCCGCCGTCTCTGCTTCTCAAAGACCAAACTTGCAGCGTTTGACTTTCAGCACTCCAAATTAAAAAAGTGGCCACTGGGCAGCTACACTCTGAGTTGCATACTGCGACAACGAGTCACTGTTTCAGCCCCGAGAAAGTTAAGCTGCACCTTCGGAGACCTGCTACTTGATGCAATGGGTGAATGAAAGGACTCCCAAGGGAAAGTGTACAGGTGTGACCCCACCGCACCCACCCCAGTGCCTTGCAGAGCGCTTTTCTTCAAGGTTCAGATTTGCTTCTACCTGGGATGAAACTCTAATTCATCTACTTTGTCAATTTCACAATAAGAAGAGGAGACATCGTTCCATTTACTTAAGATATATGTTGGTGTCATTTCAGAATAGGTGTACATACATCTTTATTTTGCTAACAACAGTCATCCGCTTCTAAACTGCTTTTGGGTTCTTTGCAAGCATGCCTGGCCCATGACACAGAAAAGAACAGTCCTGTCTTTAAGCATCAACACAAGACACCACGAGAAAAGGTGCGCCGTATTATGACTAGAAAACGATCTTGGAGGCTGTTCTCAGTGGCCTCATTTTAAGGGTGTCGGAGAAAGCAAGAGAATCCATCAGACTTGCACATTTGCAATGCGAGCGGCGTGAGCAGTGAGAGTCCGGTCAGTCCAGAGGGTAGGGAGTTGTGCCTGGACCTGGGACACCAAGGTTAAGGCTCCACCTCAGCCATGGACTCATTAGGTGGCCCTGGGCAAGTCACTTGTCTTCTCAGACTCAGTTCCCCACCTGCAAAATGGGAATAACAGTGACCTACTTCAAGGTCCTTCTGAGAACATGAATGGATTTGGTTTGGTAAAGCACTTAGCAGAAATAAAATATGCCCCCTTCTACTCCGGGGAGGATACTCCAAAGCCAGGCAATAGAAATCAACTGATACAAACTAAAATTTATTGTATAAATGGCCAGGAGGAGGAAAATGAGAACCTGTTGGACTTCACAGTCCAGAAACCAAGGTTAGTTGTTCTCAACTGATATCCACAGAAGAAGCAGTACCAGCCAAATCTGGATAGGTCCAGCATGAATGACGCACCCACATTTAGGAAACCCCTTCCAGTTAAGCTACATTTGAATAAATAAAGGCCAGAGAAAGTTCAGAAAAGGAGAAAATGGAATCAGTCAGAGCATAGGAGCTGCTTCTTCTAATAAACAGAGACTTTCGAGCAGGTCGGATTGGCAGCAAGCTGCAGCCTGGGCCAGTGAACTATAAAATTAATAGGCAATTCCTCCTTGGCAACCACAATTTTTAACTGTTTTCCTGCCACCAGGCCACCAAATTCAGCAGCGCTAAGACTGCAACTTGCAGAAGGTCCAAGTGGCAGAAGGTGGCCCTGGGTTCCTTGCCCCCACTTTAAAGGTCAGAACTTTTCTTTTAGCTTAAGAAAAGCACAGGCTATAAGAGCAGGAGCTACGAAATCCTAACCGACTGAACAAGCAGGTAAAGTTGGGTCATTCTCTTGGAATAGAGCATTTCGGAAATTCCCTTTTAAATGTGGCAAATGAAAGGCAATGAAAACTAGTAAGCTGAACAGCCTACCAAACTCATGTCCTGTGGGCTGTTTTGATGGCCACCAGCTAAAGCAACTGTTTTGGAAGATCAGAGATGCCCGTGGGAGGCAGTCTTCTCGACAGGGAGGAGTCCCCATGGATAAAGAAGTCCCCATCACCTCCCTCTCCCCCATGGGATGGCTGTTGGGACACCCCATCTGCCGTCTTCTGAGCTTCTCGGTAGAGTGGAAAGAAGCTGCCCGTTGTCCAAAGACAAAGGCTGAGCAAGAAAAAGCCCTCGCTTGACCCAGGATAGCACAGCTTACATTCATGAGTCCAGATAATTCATGAAGCTGAGTAATCCTACTAGGAAGAGGAGAAAAAGTCTGAGGTAGGTGGCTACAACCCAGAAAATCCAGTCAGCCAGCCAGCCGACAAAGACCTGTTCAAGCTCAGAGTAAACCCATACACAGTGGGACTCTGAGACAAGAAAAATGGCACGATCATCCCAAGAGAGGATAAGCATTTAAAGGACTCCCACCCCATCCCATCCATACACTGGTGACCCCATCCTTGGTCACAATCACCTTCCAGGTACAGAAATAGGACCCCCGTTCATACCAGCATTTGATAACAGCAGCAGCTCCTGGTCTGCGTTTACCGTGAGAGAGCACTCTTTTACCTATAAATCTGACTTTAATACCATGCACTGCTTTGGGAACAATTACCATTCCAAAGCAAGCATAAACAAAGTGAGATGAAACAATGCGCTTTGATAAATACCAACATCTATTATTCTACGTATGTGTGCATGACATGGCAGCGCGCACACCTTAATATTCCTGCAGGAGACAGTCGAGAAAGAGGCAGCAACCCTACTTGGAAATGCTCTGTGGGGAAGGGCTTTCCACACCCCCCACAAGATGCTTCCGCACAGAGCACACGCATCCTGTGGGAAGCAGCCAGAGGTGCTGATGTTTCCTTTTGGTACCTGTCATGTTAATGGCAGATCCATTCCTTCTTCCAGGCCAGTATTTCAGAACACCTTGGGTCAGCTGCAGCTTTGGCCGCCCCACCCACAGGTCAAAGCACTGACATGGGACCAGAGAAATTTGGGGAGGAGGAACAAGGCCTCTGTGCAAGGAGTTCCAATTACCCTCCAACTCTATTCCGCTTTGTCTGCATCCAGATTCTTATTTCTGAGCTCCTCGGGCCCTTAAGTGCAACCATGTCCACTCACCCAAATAACAGGAAAGGATTCTGGCCCTTAGAGGGTACAAACTATCTTCATTTCATGGGATGTGTCCAGTACAAAATCATAAGGGTAAGGATGGACTCAGCTTCTTGAACCATCTTCCCAGGAGGGAGGCCACAAAACCCGAACGCAACAAATCCGGCCATCATTGTAAGCAGACTAATCTAGTGCCCCAAGTGCTTACCTGCAGGGTCATCTGTTCCAGCTGCATCTCCAGGGACTTCTTCTCTTCTTCTAGCCGGCTCCGTTCAGTCTCCAGCTCCTCAACCTTTAATCTGGGGAGAAAAAAGGCCACACCAAAATTTTTAACATTAGGAGCAACGCTGGGGCTCCCCAGTGGGAGGAGCAGAGAAAAATGGCAAGTGAAGGGTATCATACATGGCCAGAAGAGTCCTCCAGTCTCAGGCCAAGAGAGGACTTCTCTGCCACCCTAGAGTACTTTTCCTCCATACTGGCTTTCCCTTTCTCCATACTGGCTTTCCCTTTCTCCATACTGGCTTTCCCTTTCTCCATACTGGCTCCCCCCCCCCCCCATACTGACTTGTTTCTCACGTGTGCAAAAGGCAGGGAAGCTGTGGATCCCCCTGTTCAAGTCCCACCAGGTTCTCCTCCTCCTCTCAGGAGCCACCATAACAGAAGTCACTGACAGTTCTTTTTGGGCAGCTAACTCTGGTTATAATATCCCATTTTTGCCTTCTGAGGATAATGATGACTTTTCACACATTTAAGAGAGATGGGCCCTTTATTTACAGGCCTATGCTGTAAAGCCCCTCTTCCCCAAACTTGTGCTCTCCCGATGTTCTGCACTACAACCCCCTTAATCCCCACCCAGCACTGGCACATCTGGGCAGCACCGAGATGGGGAAGGTCGGTGGGGTCTACTTTAGTGCCCAGCCTGCCTCCTGCATCTGGAGCGTCCATAAAAGCCACCCCAGGGAGGAAAATTAAATGACAGCAGCAAAAACAAACTGGCTCCTACTAGAAACAGAATTTCTTTTGAATGTAAGTGCATTTAAGCACTTGTTCTACCGAGGTGGTTGTTTTTAAATGGGCTTGGAAATCCTGTTTATCAGTGGAGTCGGATTAAACGAGCTTCCTAGGAGAGCTGAGCAACATTTTCTAGCTGTCACTTTGCGAGAAATCAGCCACCTGAATCTCTAGATTGTTTATATTCTTCCCGCATCACTTATTGTAGAAAAGACGTGTTGCTTTCAAACCACAGGGGATCAACTTTCCAGAGTGAGGAGACTCAGAAAAGGAGCAATTTCTCACAGACCTCTTGACTTTGTCCCTCAGCAGCTGGGGAAAATGCAGCTCCCCATCCACATTTTAGTGCTCAGTATCTAAAATTATACAGAAATCACAGCAACAGAAGGAGAGCCGGGATGGAGGAAAGGACTCTGCTCTAGCATCCTGCCTCCGACAGTCGTCAAGTCGATGCCCCTGAGAAGCTCACAAGCAGAACATCAGCACGATGGCACGCCCTCTCAGCCGTTGGTGCCCAGCCACTGGCACCCAGGTGTTTGCTACCTCGGATTCAAGAGGCACCATCCAGTAACAGGAGTAGCAGCCACGGGTACTCCCAACTTCACAAATTTGTCTCATGCCCTTTCAGAGTTGCCTGTTAGTATCCATCACCCTACCTTGCGGTGGTTCCGACGGCAAAGAGCCATCCCTTAAGGAAGTTAAAGGGATGGCAATTAGAAGAAGGGCCTTCTTGGTGGCTGCCCCCCCGACTTCAGAATGGGCTTCCTAGAGAGGTCCCCCGGGTGCCATCACTATTTTCATTTCAGCAGGTCTTTCGAGACCTGACTCCACACTGTACTGCCAGCTCTCTTGGAATTCTAACATTAGCCTGAATTTTATTATTGTTCACCACTTAGAAAGCCCTCACCGGCTATTCAGTGGCCTATATATTTGAAAACAAACAAACAATTCTTATTTATTATCAGATTTTAATCCCCCCCACCAATGAGTCACCAGCCTCCATTCTTTTAACTGAGCCCTGTGCAAAGGCGTTTTCTCCATGTCCATCCCGACTTTCCCACCATTCTGCTGCCTTCTGGGAGCAAGAGTATTAATATCATGACAGAGAAGGGGCCAATTTTCTCTGCATCCAGACTGTGCAGAGTTTTTGTGGCACTTGTTCACTGCATGATCACATTCTGCACTTTTTCCACATTCTGTCTCCTTTTTAAGGTGCTGGTAGCCACATCCCAGTTGTAGGCATATGAGGAACAGCGATCGCGGAGAAGAGGCAGGCACGCCGTCTCCTTCCGTATTTGCTCATGGGCTCTCAGGCCGAGCAGGAAAGGGACCAGTGGCCCAGTATTACGGCTCTGTGGCGCAAATTACACCGCCTTCTCAAGCCAGCACCACTGCGCACCATGCACAAAACTAATTATGAAGGTTTGGGGGGCTTTTACATCTTGATGGTTGAAAACAGGAACCCGAATTTCAGCTGCGAAGATTGCCTCGCATCCCTTGAAGGCTTTTTCTGCAACAGCTGTAATTGAAATTAAAATTATCCAGAAAAGCAGGCTCTGAAGGCATAAAAATGCAACATTAGAAGACACCTCCACGGCCCTCTGAGAACATTTTAGCCTGGAGGTGAGATCTCAGCCGTTCTGCCTCTACTCCAAGTTGTGTATATATTTTTCCAGGAGGTTAGGCTCTTGAGATTCTCTCGCTCACTCGCACTCTCTGTCACACACGCATCATTAACATGTTTGGGCAGGGAGGAACCCACATCCAAATGTTACAACACGTCAACATTGTGTAAGAAGGAAGACTGTGAGGAGGAGGAGGAAACCCACAGCCCATAGAGGGAAGAGGGCTCCTTCACTAGAGGGTTCCTTCATCTCAACTTCAGTCCTGGGGTTACTGCAACCCCCTCGCTCCGGAACATCCACACCCACCTCCGATGGCAATAAATAGCTGACCACTGGATATTGCTTCTTGCTGGATTTTCAATCTGACGAGCACACTGGGTCAAGCTCTTCCTGATGGACTGCACCCAACTGGTCAAGAGAGAAGCTCTATTCCACTTTGACAGTCCCTGTGAGGGTCACCTTCCTTGACCGCTTCTGCAGGCTTTACTCTAAATTTACTGGCTCAGACACACCAGCTGATCTTTTGCAAAATGTGTCCTGCAAGCTACCCGGAGAAATTCTGCCTCAAACCTTGGCTGAAAGGTCTGAGGAGACATGGCTGAGGGACATGGCAAGGGCAAAGGAGCTGGTCCCATCTCCAGAAAGAATGATATTGCAGGACCAGAAAGAAAGCAAACACCGGCGCTACCTGAGAGTCTGAGCTGCTCGTAGAGGAGAAGAAAAGCCATCAGGTCCAACAGTCTGGCTTGGTCCAGGAAATACGGATTTTTAAATAATAAATGCACAGCTTCCCCGTACCTTCCCTTCTTCCATTCACCTGGGCTTTGTCTGAGTTTAGACTGTGGGGACAAAGGCCAATTCATCCAGAGGTGCTTATATCCACTGCGGATCCTTGGCTAGGGTGAACAACAGCCATGAGTAAATGTAGCGCTGGACAGCAGGAACCTGTTACGTTTATCACGTCTTGCCAAAATAAGAATGCAACGGCTTCCTCAAACTTTCTGCCTCCACGGAACTGTACCCACATGACTTTGTCCACCAAAATTCATGGAAGCGGTCTCCTGTAGAATCCACACATTGCGCAATGCTCTGGAATGTTCTGCAGAGCACATGCTCAGCTAGGCTGTGGAACTTTCCGCACTCCTGCACATACCAGCATGAACCAATGAACGCCTGCAGCAAGTGTGTGTGTGTGTGTGTGTGTGTGTGTGTGTGTGTGTGTGGTGGTGGTGGCAGGGAATGACTGACAGGACACTGTCCCTAAGGAAGATCTTGGCATCAGCAATGCTTACGGCAGAGCTCCTGAGCAACTCGAAACACAAATGGAAAAACTATGGCTGTTCGCTGTTGTATCAAAAACATTTTAATAGCTTCCGTGCAAGGAAACTTCAGCGTTCTGGGAAATGCAGATGAAGGGAGACTCTCTGATATAACCTCTCTGTCTATGAATACAAATAGGGCTTCTGCTTAATCTGCTATGGACAAACACGGGAGCACGGAATGGAACCGAGGGAGAAAGGCAACAGACCCACACGCGGAGGCAGCAAACTGTTCCAAGGAGCCCACAGATGCGGTGCTGGAAACAGAGCAGTGAGCTTCCCAGCAAGTGTGACTAATAGACATTGGCAAGAACACGACTCTCTTCCAAATTACTGAAACTCTGCTCAGTCGCTAAATCTATAGACAACATTTAGGATTTACTTGGGTTGTTGTCGGATAACGGGAGAAAGAAAAGGTTAAGATTTGTTCCAGCTGAAGAGACCCCTCTTCTGGTAGTACTTCAGCCTTCCGTGGTTTAAAGAAAACAGAGGTACCCCGTAAAAACAGCTCACTGGAGGATTGTCATCTGAATCAGCCAGGTTCAGCCCGTGGTCCCACAAATGTGGTCCTGACTGCACAACTGACAACATCACACGAAAAACTGGCCCCAGCCCCTTTGAGGAAACCAAAATTCAGCTAATGGGATCTCTGGGAGGCAAGCCGCAGGTGAGAGACTGACGGTGTTAATATTGCTGTTGTCGTTCCTTCAGAAGTAATACTGTTGGAAAAGAATTTCACATTTAACGTTATAAAAGGTTTGATGAAAAGAGGGCTTTGTTCTCATGAGAAAAAGGAGTGGAGGGGAGAGAACCGATAAAGTCTTTCAAGCTTCCAAGGGAAATTTTACTTTCCATATTAAAGAAAAAAGACAAAAGGTTTTTTTAAGCCCTCATACATAGGATATGAATACAGATTTGGAGGATTAACATGGGTGCTGTCGTCCTCTCATTTCGCCATTTGTTTTTAAACGTACGCTTTGAACTGCAGGGCTGGAACGGAGCGACTCCCCCTACTAGCTAAGGCGAATGCCGGATTTCACCTGGTGTGGCTGGCAGACTGCAGACAAGCACGGGGCCTGGCACCGGAGGTTAACGGGGGGCATGGCAAGGATCCGCAGCAGAAATCATGCCCCCCGAGCCTGAGAGAATTTCTCTTCCCTCTTTCCAGTCTGCAGGAGGCGGAGGGGCTCCTTCCACCAGAGTGACTCTGAGATGGAGCTGTGAGGGAAAGCAAAGGCAGGATCTGTCCCTGGCTGTATCAGATCCTGCGCTTCGTGGATCGGGGATGGGGAAGCTGGCCGCCGTGGCCTCTCCCACACTGGGGGCCTTCAGGAGGCGGCTGGG